TGCCCGGGTGCCTTCGGCCCAGGTCATGGTCCCAGGGTCCTGGGATCGAGCCCCCCATCGGGCTCCTTGTGCAGTGGGGAGTGTTCTTCTCCCTCTCCCTCTGTCCTTCTCTCCCTCTCCCCAGCTCATACTTGCTCTCTCTCTCCTTCAAATAAAATCTTTTAAGAAAAATAAAGAGAGAGAGTGTGCGTGTGAGCCAGAGGCAGGGGGCAGAGAGAAAGGGAGAGAGTTTCTCTCTTGCAGCACCGAACCTGAAATGGAGCTTGATCCCATTAACCTGAGATTATGACCTGAGCTGCAATCATGAGTTACACGCTTAACCGACTGAGCCACTAAGGTGCCCCTAGATTTTGTGTATTTATGATTGAATCCTTTAACTTCTCCATGAATTTATCATTATTTTTATTGTCTTATATGAGGTTCTTGTAAACAAACTTATAATCACAGCAGCCTGTTTAACATGGTTATCTTTAATGTATGTATGCAGGATTATAGTTTCTATAGTATAATACTGTGACTTTCTACCTTTAGAACCAGCAATTATTTTAGGTAATATCAAGGCATCAAGTAATTCACATTTGTCATTTACTTTAAAAAAGTTTTCTGGGGGCACCTGGGTGGCTCAGTTGGTTTAGTGTCTGCCTTGGGCTCTGGTCATGATCCCAGGGTCCTGGGCTCCCTGCTTAGTGGGGAGGCTGCTTCTCCCTCTCCCTCTGCCTGCCACTCCCCTTGCTTGTGCTCTCTCTGTCAAATAAATAAATAAAATCTTTTTTAAAAAGTAAAAAAAATTTTTTTCTGAGGAAGTTTATTTTTTAAAAAAGATTTTATTTATTTGAGAAAGCAAGAGCAAGGGGAGGGGCAAGGGAGAAGCAGACTCCCCACTGAGCAGGGAGCCCTATGCGGGGCTTGATCCCAGGACCCTAGGATCATGACCCGAGCCAAAGGCAGACGCTTAACTGACTGAGCCACCCAGGCACCCTTTCTGAGGAGGTTAAAAGAAAACTCTTTAGTAGCATTTTAAAGAAGTTTATTCTTTTATTTATTTTTAAGGATTTTATTTATTTATTTGACAGATAGAGACATACCGAGAGAGGGAACACAAGCAGGGGGAGTGGGAGAGGGAGAAACAGGCTCCCCACTGAGCAGGGAGCCCGATGCGGGGCTTGATCCCAGGACCCTGGGATCATGACCTGAGCCGAAGGCAGATGCTTAACGACTGAGCCACCCAGGTGCCCAAAGTTTATCCTTTTAAAGGCATGGCAACTATTAGGTTACATATCTACCGTTTTATTTGAGTTATTTGATATGCCCTAGAAAGAGCCATAGTTTACCCATTTAGACCTTTGACTTCTGGTAAGGAATTGGATTTTACAAGAGTTACTAGACTACCTATATCAAACCTAGTGCTGTCATTTTTTATATTTACTAAGAGGTCAATCAACAAATGACATTGGATCAATATTTAGTATTAGCATGTCCAAAAGTTCTTTTCTGGTCATGGACACTTCTTGAACTGTAGGAACACAATCTAGGATTCTCCTTCACTGGGTAAAGATTATAGAGTTTCTGGATTAAGAAAGTTACACCAGAAGATGATAATATGAGAAAGAGAGAGTAACGATAATTCATAATTAGTTAATCAGTTAGTGGAAAAAGATTGGGTGGTTTCAATTAGCAAAAGGGATGTGATAATATCAGCCAGTCTCCAGTCTAAAAGACCTCAACCATTAACCCTCAAAGGCCAGCTTTGGTTGGGTGGGAGACTATTGTGCCTGTGATTCCATCCATTCTCTGTGGAACACTCCCTTATACATTCAAAAGAAACAAGATAATCCTGGAAAAGGCAAAATCCCTTGTGAAATAGCTTTGCACAGAGAGATAAACAACAACAAAAGCAAGGCAAGCAGCAGAATTATCATATTAATGGCAAAAATATTTATCAAACAATATACCACCAAACAAAAGGTCTTATAACCTTATACAAAGACCTAGGTTTCATAACTAAATGGTGCATTGCCAGACCCAAAGGTCTAATTACTTAATACAAAGATCCAGGCCTAGTGATCTTATACAAGTCCAGTAAGTGCACCTGTAGAACTGAGGGTCCCTGGAATGCTGCCAAGTGAGGGTCTTCAAAATGATGTTGCTGGAACCTCTAGAATTATCAAAAATGATAAGACAATAGCTCAATATATGACATAGAAAGATAAAAATGAATTTGTATTATAATTATTATAATAAAGGAGAACAGGGAGTCTCTCTAAGCAGAGTAGACTGCTGATCATAATAGAGTTTTGGGGAAGCATAGACTTCAGGGATTGATGGACATAAGAAGGTTGATATTATCTATAGAAGTGTTACTTGGGTAAGACTATTGTTGATTGATTGGCACTCTCAGGGGTAATTATTGGCATGAATTAGTTCCTGGATGACTGACTTTCAGAAGTGACCCTGATTGCTTGATTTGCAAAAGGGATTAACTGAGGTTAGTTGTCATTAACTGATTGAACAGATTTCAAACAAGTTCTGGTGGTATATTAGTCTTCTATTTCTGTATAACAATATTACCACAAACAGTGGCTTAAAACAACACATGTTTATTATCTTATGGTTCCTGTGGGTCAGGAATCCAAGTACAACTTTTCTGGGCCATCTACTCAGGGTCACAAGGCTGCTGTAATCAAGGTGTGAACTGGGGCTGGGTTCTCATCTGGAGGCTCAACTGGGTAAGGATCTATTTCCCCACTTGCCTGGTTGTTACTAGTATTCAGTTCCTTTAGGATGTTTAATTGAGTGCTTCATTTTTATTTATTTAATTAATTAATTTATTTTTGCTGGTTGTCAGCTGGAGGCTCATTTCTCAGTGACTAGAAGCAGTTCCTTGCTATGTGGAGTTCTCCAGCATGGCCACTTGCTTCCTTGCAGCCAGCAAAAGGGAAAGAGACTTCAGCAAGATGGGCCTTATGGTCTTTGTAATCACATAATCATGTATACACAATCACGTATCTCCCAACAACTATGCATATTCTATTGGTTAGAAGCAAGACACAGGTCCTGCCCACATGTAAGAGAAGGGGATCACACAGGCACATGAACACCACAAGATGGGGCTCATCAGAGCTACCTGTCAGTGGCCAGTCTGTCTACCACAGATGGCTACTTGTTACCATGGCTACATAGCAATCTCTTCCTAAATTTGTGGGTGTGGAGCAACTGGAGTCTCCCACACTGCTATTGGGAACATAAAATGGTAAAAATTTTGGTAAATGATTTGGCAGTTTTTTTTAAAAGATTGTATTTATTTATTTGAGAGAGAGAGAGAGAGCACAAGCTGGGGGAGGGGCAGAGGGAGAGGGAGAAGCAGACTCCCCACTGAGCAGGGAGCCCAACACAGGGCCTGATCCTAGGACTCTGGGATCATGACCTGAGCTAAAGGCAGACATTCAACTGACTGAGCCACCCAGGTGCCCCAGCAGTTATTATTTTTTTAAAGATGTATTTATTTATTATTTTAGAGAGAGAGAGAGACTGAGAAGGGGGAAGGGCAGAGGGAGAGGGAGAGAATCTTCAGCAGACAACCCACTGAGCCAGGAGCCCAACACAGGGCTTGATCCCAAGACTCTGAGATCATGATTCCGAGATCATGACTTGAGCTGAAACCCAGAGTCCGGAGGCCCAACGAACTGAGCCACCCAGGTATCTCTGTCAGTTTCTTGAAAAATTAAACACTTATACGACCCAGCCATTCCACTCCTAGATATTATCCAAGATAAATGAAAACAACCCACATAAGGACTTGCATATGAATGCCATAGCAGCTTTATTTATAGTAGCCCCAAAGTAGAAACAACCCAAATGTCTATCCACAGGTGAACGGATAAACAAAATGAGATATACAAATGATGGTATATTTCTTAGCAATAAAAAGGAACAGACTAGTGATACACACTACAATGTGGATAACTCTCAAAATCATTATGCTGAAAGAAGCTAGACAAAAAGGATACTTCCTGTATTATTCCAATTATATAACATTGTAGAAATGCAAATTAGTTTATAGTGTTAGGAAGCAGATCGGTTGATTGTTGCCTAGAGTGAGGGAGAGATGGACTGCAAATAGGCACTTTAGAAACTTATGATAAAAATGTTCTGTATCTTAATTGTGGTGGTTCACAGGTGTGTGCATCTGTCCCACCAATCAAAGTGTACACTATAAAAGAAGATAGTTATTGCACATAAATTATACCTCAATAAAATTAAGAACAAGAATTAAATGAAAGAAGCAAGAGACATGAATCTAGACACTTGGAGAGAAAGTAATGTTGATGCTGAGTACATGTTATTCTGAACAAAATTTACAATATAACACCATCCTCATCTCTTGTGCATTAGCTAAAAAAGAAATAGAGCTACCTGAAACATTTCGGTATTAATTCATTTCCAAGGTGATGATCAGGTTGCTTTTAATAGAAAAAAGAGATCATTTATCATAAACAATTACTAATGATGTTGAGCATTTCCTCCATTTATTAGCTGTTTACATGGCTCATCACATGGCCTGGGAGCTCCTCAGAGACAAGGCCGGTATCTTTTCTTTCTCTACCCCCAGCCTAGCACAGTTTGATATTTACTAAATGGAATTTTATTAAAATTGAAGTGAATGGTCTTAATTCGTTCTCATAACCCTTTGGAGACGTGAATATTATTACTTCTTACTGATGAACGCAAGACGCAAAGCTTGAGTAATTTGCAGTCACAAAACTAAATGGCAGAAGTAGGACTATAATCCAGGCTTTCTGATTCTAACCCATAGATTTACTGAAATTGTCCTCTGTCCGCTCCAGGGATGTCTGCCTGGGCCCTATCTTCCTCAGGATATCAACTGATTATTTTAAATGAATTTAAAGTTAGCTAAGGGTCAACCTCCGCTGGGCGCATGCGTCCCTTCCTTTTCCCACGGTGTAAAGAGACACCACCTCGCTTCCTTCCGCCTTGACGCCTTTTGGCACCAGCGACTCGCCGTTGCCCAGGCTGCAGCGTTCACTAGTTGAGGTGATGGCGACTGGGACACCAGATTCGCAAGCGCGATTCGGTCAGTCTGTGAAGGGGCTCCTTACAGAGAAGGTGAACACCTGTGGTACGGACGTGATCGCGCTCACCAAGCAGGTGCTGAAAGGCTCCCGGAGCTCCGAGGTGAGCTGGGAGTGGACTTTATGGCCCAATATCCCGGGGCCCCGAGTCCTCCATAGCTGTGAGAGGGGGATCGCATTACCTCCTGGGAATTGTAGGCTGTGAGCCGCTCCCTGAGAGAAGAGCTCGTTTGCGAAGGGCGCGTGTTGCATTCTGGGATGTGTAGTCTCTGGGGGATTAGCGATATAGGGAGGGGGGTAAAAACGGGATTGTGGGAATCTGCTTTAAAGCAGAGATTGCTGCAGGACGGCGGATAAGATAGTGGTCCTAGCCAGTTCATAATTTGTTTCATGGCGTTCCTTTTTTCTGGCCCCCAAATTCCGCATGGTTTTGCCCTCAACATCCCAGATTCCTTTCACACTTTTGTGCATCGTCTTTGGATTTGTTCTTTTCTGATTTGTCTTTCTGGTCACATCTTGGTTTTCTGTTTATTAGATTAGCTTTCTCCTTTGCCTCGATTTCCCCTTCATTCTGTAGCTGGTTCCGTGAATGGAGTTATAGGATGGCTTTTCACACCAGAAAGCTTTATGTATGTACAACGTGTCTCCAAAAAAAGTCGTATTTATTGTACTCTTAGATATTCACCCACGAGAAATGAAAATATATGTCCACACAAAGACTTGTACATGTGCATAACCCCATTATCCGTGATAGGGTCAACCTGGAAACGACCCAAATGTCCGTTGACAAATGAATGGACAAACAAAATGGTTCTGATGACTGAGCCATTCCACTCCTAGGTTTTTACCCAAGAGAAATGGTAACATGCCTCTCATTTTGTTAGTAAGCCGACCACATACATAACATATTATCTAAGAGTTCCTGTTTTGGTTTCTTTAAAGTGGAACAACATCTTGAATACACCTGAGAAACAATCTGAATACAAAGTCTTTTTAGATCTTTGTGAACTTCTGTAGAACTTGATCATTATCTTGCTCATAATTAACTCAATGGCAGTGTGACTTAGTGCTCATCTTCAACAAGTATTGCTTATTTTCAACTTAGTTTTCATAATAATATCAACTCTCTCTTTTAACTCATATTTCATCAGTCTCTATGTAATTGCAGTAACAAGCATAATATGGCCACAAGCTTTTGGACTTGTATATGGGTATTCATAGCAGCTTCATTCAGATTAGTTTAGGATCCAGTAGAATTGTCTTTACAGAATCATCTTTTATGTTATGTCCTTAGCTTGTATTGGTAGTGACTACAAGAAATAACCATATGAAGAAGGTGTTTGCATTTACCATAACACTATTGTTGAAGTCACCGATTTGGTGATCCCAAGTATGTTTTGTGTGAGGTCACACATGATATACTCATTTTAGGATTCAGTATCAGAGGAAAGTTCTTCTCTTTTTGAGGAATTGTTATGTTGCCTTTTACCAAATAAGAATTCTGCAAATACCCTGAAACAAATAATATGTTATATGTTAATAAACAAAAAAGAATTATGCAAATGAGGGGCACCTGGGTGGCTCAATCAGTTAAGCGTCTGCCTTCCACTCAGGTCATGATGCTGGAGTCATGGGATTGAGTCCCCTTTAGGGCTCCTTGCCAAACGGGGAGCCTGCTTCTCCCTCTGCCTGCCACTCCTTCTGCCTGTGCACACACACCCTCTCTGACAAATAAATAAATAAAATCTTAAAAAAAAAGAATTATGCAAATGCAAGTGTTTCACTTTTTGTCTTGGTTGCACAGAAGTTCCCCTTACATCAGTTTTAGTGGTAGACACATTTACTTCCTTCTCCTTTTAATGACTTTTAGATTCTGTTTCTATTTTTTTAAAAAAAATGTGTGGTATAAATTGCCTTCAGTCTTTTTGTAGGAGAAACAACGTATAAATATATAAATTTAAAAAAATAGTGTTCATAGTTAACCACCAGTATGTATTGAACATTCATATTCATTCTAATAAACTTAACTTTTGTTGAGCATCTACTACGTGCGGGACACTGCTGTGTTTTATGTAGCTTAATTTGTTAAATCTTTGCACTTACTAATAGAGGAGGTATGTTTCTTACATAGAAGATACGAAGAGGGAATTTAATTTTTCCAAGGTTACAATGTAGCAAGGAAGGGGTAGAACGAGGATTCAAACCTAGGCAGACTGGTTCTAGGCTCATAATCTTGGGCACCACCTCTCATACTAACTGGTTTAGTGACCCAAAAGCCATGGTGTCACCGTTGACTGCCCTAATGTCACTTGTTCCTTTCTCTTCCTCCTTGTGTATTTTTCACATGAGATTCTTCTGGAGTAGATTTAGATTGGCTGTTCAGTAAATGGTGTGGATTGAGTTAAACTGAAATTGTTCCACCTTTCTGGGAGGGTTGACACATGATCTCTCAGTTCTCTGACTTTTGTCTTTTTATTGGATCTCTTACATGGTACTTATCACATACCATATTGACTTTTCCTGTAGTTACTTATGTATTTTTGCCATTTCCTTTACTAGACTTTAGATTATTTGGAGTGTCTTTTTGATTTTCTTTTTTTTTTTTTGTAGCATATATCAGTACTGTACTTTATTCCTTTTTAAGACTGAATAATATTCCATTGTATGTATATACGACATTTTGTTTATCCATTCATTTGGTGATGGAGATTTGTGTTGTTTCCACCTTTTGACTTTGTGAATATGCTGCAGTAGACATTTATATATAAATACCTATTTGGGACCCTGCTTCCAGTTATTTTGGGTAATTGCTGAATTGCAATTGCAGTTGCAATTGCAGTAAGTCTATGTTTAATTTTTTGAGGAACCACTGTACTGTTTAGCACAATGGGTGTACCATTTTACGTTGCCAGCAAATGCACCAGCGTCCCAGATACTTCACATCATGGACAACATTTGTCATTTTCCATTTTAATCATAGCCATCCTGATAGGTATAAACTGGTACCTCCAAGTGGTTTTGATTTGCATTTCCCCAGACACTAGTGATGTTGAGCATTGTTCTTGTTCTTACTGGCCATTTGTATATCTTTGGAGATATGTCTATGAAGGTCCATTGTCCATGTCCAAATTGGACTTTTTGTTGTTGAGTTCTTTTGTTGTTGTAGGAGTTCTTCACATATTCTGAATGTTAATCTGTTATCAGATATTATTTGCACATATTTTCTCCCATTCTGTGAGTTTCCCTTTCATTTTCTTGATAGTGTTCTGAGTTCAGAGAGCTGAATCTCCTAGAGAAAAAATGTCTCAAGTGTTAACAGTTTATTTCACACAACAGTGTCTGCTTCTGGTTTTTTGGGGTCTAGTGGCAATTGTCTTCTCCAGGAGGGTATACTTTCTTTCTATTCCTTAGACTTTCTTCTCCAGCTTTTTAAAAAAAATTTATTTATTTGCGGGGGGCAGAGAGTGAGGGAGAAGCAGGCTCCCCACCTGAGCAGGGAGCCTGACATGGGGCTCGATCCCGGGACCCCAGGATCATAATCTGAGGTAAAGGCAGACACTTAACAGGCTGAGCCACCCAGGTGCCCCAAGCTTTTCTTTTTTTCTTTTATTTATTTTTAATTCAATTTAATTTTATTATGTTAGTCACCATACAATACATCATTAGTTTTTGATGTAGTGATCCATGATTCATTGTTTTCATATAACACGCGGTGCTCCATGCAGTACGTGCCCTCCTTAATTCCCATCACCCAGCTAACCCATACTTCCACCCCCCCTCCCCTCTAAAACCCTCAGTTTGCTTCTCAGAGTCCACAGTCTCTCATGGTTCATCTCTTCCTCCGATTCCCCCCGCTTCATTTTTCCTTTCCTTCTCCTAATGTCCTCCATGTTATTCCTTATGTTCCACAGATAAGTGAAACCATGTGATAATTGACTTTCTCTGCTTGACTTATTTCACTTAGCATAATCTCCTCCAGTCCCATCCATGTTGATGTAAAAGTTGGGTATTCATCCTTTCTGATGGCTGAGTACTATTCCATTGTATATATGGACCACATCTTCTTTATCCATTCGTCTGTTGAAGGGCATCTCGGCTCTTTCCACAGTTTGGCTATTGCGGACATTGCTGCTATGAACATTGGGGTGCCTATGGCCCTTCTTTTCACTACATCTGTGTCTTTGGGGTAAATACCCAGTAGTGCAATTGCTGGGTCATAGGGTAGTTCTATTTTTAATTTTTTGAGGATCCTCCACACTGTTTTCCAAAGTGGCTGTACCAACTTGCATTCCTACCAATAGTGTAAGAGGGTTCCCTTTTCTCCACAACCTTTCCAACATTTGTTGTTTCTTGCCTTGTCAATTTTTGCCATTCTAACTGGTGTAAGGTGGTATCTCAATGTGGTTTTGATTTGAATTTCCCTGATGGCTAATGATGATGAAAATTTTTCAATGACATTTTTCAAAGTGCTGGAAAAACAATCCTAAAATTTGTATGGGATCAGAAAAGACCCTGAATTGCCAAGGAAATGTTGAAAAAGAAAATCAAAGTTGGGGGCATCACGTTGCCTGATTTCAAGCTATATTACAAAGAAGTGATCACTAAGACAGCATGGTACTGGCACAAAAACAGACATATAGACTAATGGAACAGAAGAGAGAGCCCAGATACGGACCCTCAACTCTATGGTCAAATAATCTTTGTTCAAGCTTTTCTTTTTTTAAAGATTTTATTTATTTATTTGTCAGAGAGAGAGAGAGAGAGAGAGCTGCGCGCACGCACAAGGAGGGGGAGTGGCAGGCAGAGGGGGAAGCAGGCTCCTGCTGAGCAGGGAGCCCAACCTGGGGCTTGATTCCAGGACCCTGGGATCATGACCCGAGCTAAAGGCAGACACTTAACTGACTGAGCCACACAGGCTTCCTCTTCTCCAGCTTTTTGAGTTGTTATTGGTGTGACCCAAATTGTCCCAAAGCCACAGGGCACCTCCCTGGGGTTAGTCCTGAAGGAAAGGAAGCTCTTGGTCTCATTGTGGACAGGGAGCCTGATTTTTAGTTTGAATCCTTCTTAGTCCGTAGAACATTGCTTCTCTTTTCACCAGTCTCCATGTGGCTGTTTTGTTTGATTAGCTGACAATTTCCATGTGTAAAGCTCTCCTTCCATGGGATTCATTTAACAAATATTATTGTCTGCTATGTGCCATGAACTATTCTAGGTATAAGGGAGAGGATGGTACACAAAACTAGGTCCCCGTACTTAGGGAGCTTACATTTTAGTGAAGAGACAGACAAACAAATGAAACAAAAAATCAGGTGGTAGTAAATATCATGAAGAAAAACTAAGCTGGGAGTAGAGAGTGATGAAAGGGTTTTCCTTAAATAGGGTGGTCAGGGAAGGGCCCTCTAATGAGGGGACATTGAGGCAGACACTTGAATGAAGTGAGAGAGCAGGCCACATGGACGTCTGGAGGCAGAGTGCTCCAAGTAGAAGAAATGGCAAATGCACAGGCCTTGAGATGGGAATGTGGACAGGGTGTGCAAGGAGGCCAGTATGGCTGGAGCACCAAGTGGGGAAGAGCATGCCAACCTTGTGCCCACAGCACAATGAATGCATGTGACCCCCATGCACCTCCAGTCGAGTTGTGTGCTGAGTAAAGGGTCTGTTGTGTGTGGGTTTTTTTTTTTTTTTTAGGGTCCATTGTGTTTTACCTTACACCTGTGTTTATGCTTGCTATTTTAACTACATTACTTAATGCAATAATATGGACAATGATGAACTAGAATGAAAACACAAAGAGGGTTGGTATTGCTATGAAAACAAAGTTGAAAAATCTTGTTGAAGATGAGGAGCGAACAAATAACAACGTAGTAACAGTACCTGTTGAAGATGAGGAGCTAAGATTGCTATTGACTTACTTATGAGCAAAGCAATAGTAAAAGCCTAGGGGGAAATACTCAAGATGTTGTTCTGCTTTAAAGAAACCCAACCCAGACATCTTAGATGATATGTGATGTGTGTGGTTGGTTTATGCAAGAAAATGATGCAAAATGCCAATGGATACATCTGTCATCAAAGCAGGGCCTTGGCCCAGCATTGCAACAGCTCCTGCATTCCAGGAATCACGAGTCTCCTTGAGTCTATCTTTGAAATGATCACCCACCCCTACCCCCCTTTTTAACGGCCACTCCTGTGGCTCAGGCCACTTTCATTGCTTGCCTAGACTATGGCAGTGTTCTCCCAACCAATCTCTGCCTTCAGTTCCTGCTCCAGTCCATTCTGCTTGCCACGCTTCTAAAACAGTAAATCTGATCATGCCCAATCTTTAGGTCTCTGCTAGAAGTCACTTCTTTTCGGAAGCCCTCCCTGAACACCTGCCCCTGTAATGGGGCAGACACCCGACTCCCCATGCTGCCTGGTTATCTGGTGCTTCCCCATCGGCAGTTACCACAAGGATTGTAGTGCCTGTGTCCTCTTTGTAACACCAGATTGTGAGCTCTGTGAAGACAGGGGTTGTGTCTCTTCCTGGCATATTGTCAGCACTGAATAAATATTTGTTAACTGAATTAATGCATGAGGAAGATTCTTTTGGAACCTTTTCTTTCTACCATCAGTTTGTCAGTCACCATCTCCCATCTATAGGACTTTGGAGTTTGCCACTTAAAAGTGGCCACAAGGAGGAAATAGGCACTCTGATACATTGTGGGTGGGAATATGGAATGGTATAACCCCAGTAAGACCCTCTCATCCAGCAATCATAGTCATAATTCTATGAGTCTATCCCAAAGATATGCTAGCAAAAAGACACAAAGATATATAAGGTATTTTTTTGTAGCACTACCTCTAATAGCAAAGACTGCAAATAGCCCCAAAGTCTGGTTGAATTATCTTACAGGGACATCTATACACACAGTGCTCTGCAGCCATAAGACAGCAATGTGCAGATTCAGTATTTACTGCAATCTATTTCAGCATATCTTGTCAAGTGAAAATAGCAGTGTGTGGTGTGGAAGAGTGCAGGTAGTAGCTTACATTTTAAGTAAGGGGGGGCAGATTATGTATGGCCACTTTTAAAAAGACACAATAGAAAGGTAAGTTATTTATTTATTTTTAATTAAGTAGGTTCCATGCCCAACGTGGGGCTTGAACTCAAGACCGTGAGATCAAGAGTCACATGCTGTACTGCCTGAGCCAATCAGGTGCCCCTAAAAAAATATTTATGCATAGGGGAGAGAGAATGGGGAAGGGAAGGGACAGGGATGGAAGGTCTTATTTTACTGTCTCAACATTAGAAGCACATAAAGGTTTATAAATGAAAATAGTTGCCGCAGGGGAGATTATCTGGGGGCTGTAGCAGTGACGGTATTCCTGGTAAATATGAGGTCATCGGTCCCCTTTTCATCAGAATCTCTCTGACCCAAGGGAACAGGGACAATGGGTAGGACACACAGTAACTCCCCTTCCATGGTTGGACTTTAATGTCTGCCAGGAGCCGGGTGTGACCGTAGGCCAGAAACCTCTCTCGATCTCCTCTTGCCTCCTAACTCTGCAGTTCCAGAGCCCTTGATTTCTCAAAAAGTAGCCTTTGGAGCAGATGTTGAGCCCATGCCAGCACCGCCACAGTGACACTGAATTTGGATTTTCAACGTGAACAAATAGGAGATTATCCTCTGTTAAATTTGGAGCATTTGTGGTTGTATGGGGGAGGGGAGGAGAGAGGGTGGTGGTATAACAGCTGCAGAGAGATTACAGGAAGTTTGCAGATTTTGATCATTACCACTTTATTTTTGTCTTCCAGCTGCTAGGTCAGGCAGCTCGAAACATGGTCCTGCAGGAAGATGCCATCTTGCACTCAGAAGATGTAAGAAACAATTTCTTTTGTGATTTGGGTTTTATTTACATAATTTGTGTGGCTACAGGGAAGTGGAATGTTCTCTTTGTCTGTTTTTTTGTTTTGTTTTGTTTTAATGCAGAGTTTAAGGAAAATGGCGATAATAACAACACACCTTCAATACCAGTGAGTATGCCTTCTGCAGTGCCGGCTTGCTGCAAAGTCACATTCCGCAGGCTGCCCCCTCTTGCCTTTGTGCTTCAGCACACTTTCCTGTGAAGGCAGGAGTTGGGAGTAAAGGTGGGGTTAGTCAAGAAGGAGCTCCTTCTGGAAAAGATGGCGGTGACTGCAGAAGCTGAAGTATGGGTGAGATCAAGAGCAGGGACTGCCTTTTGTGAGCCTCTCTGTGTTCATTTGGGGGCTCCTTACAGGGAGAGACTATGAGCCGCAGGAGGGCAGGGCCCATGCCAGGACCATGCTCGCACAGTGCTCGGCACTGAGTAGACACTTAATCAATATTTGTTGACAACCTGTGCCCAAGGTCTCTCCTGGGGAGTCTGCGCTTTCACTAGGGAATCAAGTGTAACTGTGACCTGCATCCTCTAGTTCCCCCATTTAACCCAGCCCTAGCTACGTAGAAATGATCCAGGAGATTCTGAAATACAGAGAACCCTTTCTCTGTTATAATTTTGAATACAATTATAATTAGCTTTTCATTGTATTTCATTTTGCTTTATATCTTATATAGTTGATATGACTTATGTACCTATTGGAAATGTATGATTGAGAATTTAACTCTTGATATTTAAACAGCTAAATGTTCATTCTTGGGGTGTGTGCATATCAGGTGTGTGACCATTAGATTCCACGTACCCAAGCTGAATGTGAGCCATGCATACAGTTTATGGTACTGCCTCCCTCAGTCTGATAGAGTATCATTAGTTCTTCAGGTTTAGAGTCCATCTTCTTAGCAACTCTGCACTCAGATAGTGAACAGAGCTTCAAGAGCACAGTCTTAAGCTAGAATGGACAGAAATACAGAACGTGACATAAGCCGGAAATTTGTTCTGCCTGCAAATTTCTAACCATAAGTCGCACTAGTTTTCTGAGATTTTTTATCTTTATTTTCCTCTTTCCCTTTCTGATTTAGGCAAGAAGCTATTCAGAAGAAGTAAGTAACCCCAAAGGTAGGGGAGTCGGGGGACCAACTGAAGCAGGCTACAGGGAATTATACTTTTGGGCCTAGAATCAATGTGAAACTGTAGCTGATATATGCCCTTAAATTGACATATACTCTGGGATAGCTCATTTGGGATATAAAGAAAACAGTACAGTTGACCCTTGAACAATAAAAGTTTGAACTACACGGTTCCACTTATACACAGATTTTTTTTTTTTTATAAATGCAGTATAGTATTGCAAATGTATTTTCTCTTCCTTATGATTTTCTTAACATTTTTTCCTCTAGCTTAGTTTAAGAGTGTAGTATATAATACATATAACATACAAATTATGTAAATATGTGTGAATTGACTGTTTCTGTTATCAGTAAGGCTTCTGGTCAACAGTAGGCTATTAGTAAAGTTTTGGGGGAGTTAGGTTATACACAGATTTTGACTGTGTGGGGCGTCAGCGCCTGTAACCTTCATGTTGTACAAGGGTCAACTGTATATTTCAAAGGCATGCAGTAAGTTAATTCACTGCTAGTAAAGGCTTTCTAAAAATTATAGGGTGTAGATGCCTAACTTAAGGAATAGAAAAACCTTACATGTTGGTAATATTCATTAAGCAAATGTGCTAAAGTCGTTAAGCAGTCTTGTTTTTTTGAGTGGATTAAATCTGTCCCTTACAATATTGGGTACACTAATTGGCTTTACAAACCTTTTTTTCATAGTTTAAACTTCTGGAACTGTAGTGGACCAATATAAATTTTGATTTAGCTTCAGAAGTATTTATGCATTAAAGTACAAATTGTACCAAGAGATTTTTATTGCTCATGTCAGATAAACTTTACCTCTGTTCTAATTTCTAGTGTTGAACAGTCTTCTGATCTACAGGACCAGTTGAATCATCTGTTGAAATAGAGCAGCTTGTAAGAGGGAAAAGCACTTCTTTGCCTGACACTGAGAAGGAAATATTTTATTCAGCTACTGTCCTATGGGTTTGATTTTCCATTTTCTTCTCCAAAAGTTAAGTTAGAAAAGATTTATGATGGTGTGCAGTTTCTCCTGAAGAGAAGCTAGGTGGTTGAATTTTGGAAGTACTTCTCGAAGCAGACTAACCCATGCTCTTAGTGAATTTTTAAATGCTCTGTTTAGTTTGATGTAAAAGCAAAATTAAAGAGGTCTTAGTTTTTTCCATAGAACTTTTATATATGTCAAGAGCTATATCATCTAACTGTGATTCTTAAGCAAATGCTGAATAATGTTTTAAATTCAGAAATACGGCTTCTATTGTGAAAACAGGAATGATTAATATTCTTTTTAAAGACTTTTTTTCTTTTAATCATACATTCAGGAAATTTCATGGTCACAGAATGGTGATAGGTAATATCTGTTCTTTTCTATTAACTCAGAGGAGATATTTATTTTATTCATTGTAGCAAATTCCTAAATGAAAATTAGGCAAATGGTATCATATCTGGCCTGCTGCAACCTCCTGCCTTGACCTGCATTCCTAGTTTCTTTGTTGTGACTCTTGATTAGTTGGCCTTGGGTTCATTTTGTAATTTTGCTAGTCATCAGCAGATTCACTTGTAGAACATTATTGCCAAATGCAAAGGCAGTTGAATTACCAGGAATGATTGCAGTGTAGGGTTGTGCCATGGTGAAAACCTTATGTTTTCAGTTATTTGCCCATGTTCATTTAATTTATCTTGCTAAAAGACATTACCTTTGAATGTTTTTGTTTGAATTTTAAATGGGACTCCATTGTGTTCTAGGTCATTTCTTATCACTAAAGAATTAGGAGAAAGCTGACATAAGAAAATGGTGTTTTCAGTGAAAGAAAAAAGCAAATAAGAGTCCAATTTAATTCATATTGTATATCATCAAGTCGACTAATCATATTAGATTGTATTGTAGATAAATACAACCTAATTATGCCTATACACATTAACTTAAGGTAAAAGAAAAAACTAGGTATGAAGGAATTCAGTTATGCATTCCTTTTATAAACTCTCATTACACTTATTAAATGTAAATGGGCTCAATTCACCTTCAAAAAGAAGGGTCTGGAAACTTCTGGAACTGTAGTGGACCAATATTGACAGCAAATGTTAGCAAATTGACAGCACATGTTAGCAATTGACAGCAAATGTTAGCAAACATTACTATCACTGTTGCTGTTCAGCATTTTGCTGGAGGCCATGTCTAGTGCAGAAGTTAAAAATAAGTATAGCTAATGGGGCGCCTGGGTGGCTCAGTCAGTTAAGCATCTGCCTTGGCGCTGGTCACAATCCCAGGGTCCTGGGATCGAGCCCCGTGTCAGGCTCCCTGCTCAGTGGGGAAGCCTGCTTCTCCCTTTCCGCCTGTCTGTGGCTCACCCTGCTTGTGCTCTCTTTCTGTCAAATGAATAAATAAATAAAATCTTAAAAAAAAATAAGTATAGCTATTAGCAACAAAGAGACAAAATTATTATCATATTGTAGGATTATCTGCTTAGAAAATCCAAGGACTGATTTTTTTAAAAGGGTCATCAATTTAGAAAACAAAAAGTTCAATCATCCAAGTATACAAGATGCAAAGAAATACCTAACATGACATTTGTAAAAAAATTAAAAATTAAAATAAAGGTATTGTCTAAGTTTTCCTCATCATGCTGGAACAAATATTAAAGTAGCAGTGATTGCTTACGTTATAACTGATAAATTTCACCACAAAATTTTAATGGTAAATATAAAATTTACATTAAATAATGAAAACCTAGTAGTACTAAATTTAGTCATTTTAAAGAATAGAATGCCAAAAAACATGGAAGAAAAATAGTCAGAAATGCATGAATAGTCAGAAATGTATACATAATTTGATACTATATCTCTTGTAGAAATAAATGGGCTAGATAGAATTAAATGGTGATCAAACATGGAAATAAAAAATACTTCTTTAAATAACATCTGGGTTGTAGAGAATATGTTGAAGGATAATATTTTTAAAATAGTGAAAATTCAAATTCTGTGCAAGAAAATTTATGTGATAATACAGCAATATTTTAAAGCAGTACTATAAAGAAAAAAAATCGTGCTTTAAATCTCTATAGGGAAAAGGGTGTTTTCTTTTTTTAAGGGGTTTGTGGTTAGAACTTAGGGAAGAAATCAAAATAGAATAAGAAAGCCAAGCATGAGTGATAAAAATTTGAAAAAATATGTGATATCATTAATTGGTTCTTACAGATTAAATTGGTAAAGTATTGGGTCACTTGGCTGGCTCAGTTGGTGAAGCATGTGACTCTTGATCTTGGGGTTGTAAGTTCAAGCCCCACGTTGGGTGTGGAGATTACTTAAAAATAAAATCTTAAAAAAGAAGTTAAATTGGTAAAGTGTCAGCTCAATCTAAAAGTACAGATTAGTAAATTTATAATTGAAATGGAGATAATAAATCACTTAGATTTTAAAAGCATGATCTGTCAGCTTAATTCTAAAAATTTAATTACAAGTATCAAAATGTCCGCCTCCTTTGAAGATATAATATCACAAAACTGATATTTAAAAGACAATATGTCCAGGGGGACCTGGCTGGCTCAGTCGGAAGAGCATGCGACTCTTGATCTTGGGGTTGTGAGTTTGAGCCCCATGTTGGGCCTAGAGCTTACTTAAAAATTAAAAAAAAAAGTCATTTGCCTGTGATAGCTTTCCTGAGAATTTTCTAAACTGTCAGAGAACTTCCATATACTCCCAAAGTATAGAAAACAGTGGTAAGATACCCAGTTCATTTGCTGAAGTAAATATGACTTTCATTTTTATTTTTATTTATTTAAAGATTTTATTTTTAAGTAATCACTACACCCAACATGGGGCTTAAACTTACAACCCCGAGGTTAAGAGTTACATGCTCTACTGACTGGGCCAGCCAGGTGCACCTATGACTTTCATTTTTTTTTTTGAATATTTATTTATTCATTTGAGAGCAAGAGAGCATGATAGCACATGCATGCGAGTGAGTTGGGGGTAGGGACAGAGGGAGAAGCAGACTCCTTGCTGAGCAGGGAGCACACTCAATCCCAGGATCCTGAGATCATGACCTTAGCCAGAGGTAGATGCTTAGCCGACTGAGCCACCCAGGTGCCCCATTTTTAAAATCTTTTAAAGATTTTATTTATCATTTTTAAAAATTAAAAGCGAAATAACATAAGAAAATTTAGGAGATTCTTATTCATTAACATAGATGAAAAATCCTAATAAAATCTCAGAAAAATTGAATAGAGAAATATTTTTGAAGAATTGCTAAAATAATTCCAGAATTGCAAAGTTGATGTAACAGCTGCAAAACACATTATCTTACATTAATAAGAAACATTAAATCATATATCACTGTAACATACACCAAAAAGACATTTGAAAAAATTAACTTCAATTTCTAATTAAAACTAAAAAAAAAGGAAAAGAAAAAATTTTCTTTCTGAAGAGTTCTTTCTAAAGAACCAACATAGAATATTTGGTGAAGAAGAAAGAATCATAGAATCCCAGAATCTTAGCTCTGTATCGGGCCTCAAAAATGACTGAATTCTGGCCCCATGTTTTACAGATGAGAAAACATAGTGAGGGACATCACATAACTTACCCAAAGTTACTGAGTTTGGTGATAGGTCTTTTGAGTACTAGTCTAGCTCTCTATTTAATCTGTTACTTTACTTATAAATAGAAACATGGGTGCTACTTGTCATTTCTAGTATTTAATGCAATACAAAAAAAAGGATCTTGGAAGTAACTGAATCCAATGTATTTACCCCTGCCACTGCATCTCTAGCAAGTAAACATCTAGCTGGTCATCTGGCTTCTGCTTGAATGCTTCCAGTTGGGGAATCCTTTACTTAGAGATGCTGGCCATTTTGGAAAGCTCTACTTCTTTAAAGATTGTCTGTGTACTGAACCACAATCTGCCTTTCTGGACCATTCTGTAATTGTAGCTTTCAAGGTGGGATATGTGGAGGTATGCACAAGGCCACCCTTGGAGGTAAGGGAAGAAAATAATGAAAATATCTGTGTATGTTTACTTAGCTTTTGCTAATAGTTAAAATATGACTTGATATGAGAGCTCTAATTTGGTCTACATAGCATACTGATCTATACAGCATGCCTGTCATTTAGAATGGGTGATCTTAAAAGCACAAAAACCCCTGTGGCTGGTGCACTGATCAATCAGAATGAATGATGGCTACAGGCAATCTGGTCCAGAATCAGCTCTGTACACTAGATACCTGATGGAAAACTGGAAATCACTCAATTAAAGTTGATGGTGGTTTGCTTTATTGTGGTTTATCCATGTGTGGTTATGTGGATTTTAGGTTTATCAGATGATTCTTGTGAATACCCATAAATTGAAGATAATATATTAAGCAAGTATACTGAACAAGTGGAAAACATTAAAGCCCTTTCCTTAACTCCCATTAATCTGTGCCTTCCAGATAAAGATAGCATTTTACCAATAAGTGAGAAAGTGACTGCTTTCCTAAAGGAACTAATTTATGGAGACCGTATTTTGAAAACTAATATTTAAGAGTGTTTTTGCCATTATACAATTGCCAAGAAACTGATAGCTATAGAAACACACATTTTTACATACTTAATAGTTGGAAATATTCTAAGCTATAAAAATATTCCAACAAGGATTGTTTTCATGGGTTTAACTTGTTAAAAATATTAAAATATAACACCTTCTATTAATATTTAACAATTAATTGACATCAGAGAAGATTGTTATTAGCAGATGAGATTGAAAAATGAGTGTAATACAGTAAATGTCCCATTTAGATATCCATATCTCCTTGCTATCCTAGTGAATAGAAATGCTTGTTACAACCACAGAAGGAAATAAGATAGACAAATACAGTGAACCCTTATATAACACGGGGTTGAGGTACTGACACCTGCACAGTTGAAAATCTGTGTGTATATGTGTATAACTTTTGACTCCCCAAAAACTTAACTACTAATAGCCTCTTATTGACTGGAAGCTTTATCAATAACATAAACAGTCAATAAATACATATTTTATATGTTATATGTATTATATGCTGTATTTACAGTAAAGCAAGCTGGAGAAAAAACAAAATGTTATTAAGAAGATTACAAGGGAAAGAAAATATATTTATAGTACTGTACTTACTGAAAAAAATCTACATAGAAGTGGACCGTGCAGTTCAAACCCATGTTTTTCAATATAGGGGTGGAAGAAAAAATTTTCTGTGTAATGAAATGACAATACTTAGGAAACACAAGTGAATTGACTAGAAATTACTAGATGTTAAAAATGAATTTAGCAGAGTTGCTTTTCTAAATATAATTCAAAACAGACAGAACTGCTACATGCATACCGTATGATTCCATGGCATTCTGGGTAAGGAGGGAGAATAGATCGGTGGTTGTTTAGGAGATGGTGAGGGAGGGGATGGGGATTTATTACGAAGGGGCACAAAGAAACTTCAGCATGAGAGAGTCTCGATTGTCATATATTCGTTTGTCAAAATTCATGTACTATACACTAGAGAAAGTTGAATTTTCCTGAATGTAAATTATATCTCAATAAACCTAACTTTTTTTTTTTAAGATTTTATTTATTCATTTGAGACACAGAGATACAGAGAGAGAGAGCATGAGGAGAGAGGCAAAGGGAGAGGGAGAAGCAGGCTCCTCGCCCAGCCAGGAGCCCAATGTGGGCCTTGATCCCAGAAACCTGGGATCATGACCTGAGCTGAAGGCAGACGCTTAACCGTCTGAGCCACCCAGGCGCCCTAAACCTGACTTTAAAAATCGATTGAGAGTAAATAATTTGTGTAAAAAATGGGCAGAGGACCTGAACAGACATTTCTCCAAAGAAGATGTACAGATGGCCAACAGACACATGAAAAGATGCTCATGATCACTCATCATCAGGAAAATGCAAATCAAAACCACAGTGAGATACCACCTCACACCAGGCAGAATGACTAAAATAAAATCAAAAGGACAAGAAATAACAAGTGTTGGTAAGGATGTGGAGAAAAGGAAACCCTCACCCTGTTGGTGAGAATACAAACTGGTGCAGTCACTGTGGAAAACAGTATGGGGGTTCCTCAGAAAATTAAAAATAGAACTACCATGTGATCTAGTAATTCCATTACTGGTTATTTACCCCCCCAAAATGAAAACTAATTTGAAAAGGTACATGTACCCCTATGTTTATTGCAGCATTATTTACAGTAGCAAAGATATGGAAGCAACCTAAGTGTCCATCAATAGATGATGGATAAAGAAGAGGTGGTGTATATGTATGTGTATACACACACACAATAATATACAATTTCATATTTATATAATAGAATATTACACAGCCATAGACAAGAATGAGATCTTGCTATTTGGGACAACATGATGGACCCAGGGGGTATTATGCCAAGTGAAATAAGCCAGGCAGAGAAAGACAAATATCACATAATTCACTTATGTGTGGGATCTAAAAAAACAGACTAATAAATACAAATTGGTGGTTGCAGGGGCAGGGATGGGCAAAATTGGTGAAGGGGATTAAGAGGTACAAACTTACAGTTATAAAATGAATAAGTCATGGGGATGAAAAGTACAGTATAGGGAATGTAGTCAGTAATAAGGTGGCAGATGGCAACTATGCTTGTGGTGAGCATTGTGGAATGTATGGAATTGTGGAATCACTATTTTGTACACCTGAGACTTAGGTAACATTGTATGTCAACTAGACTTCAATAAAAAAAAAAAAAAGATTGAGAAAAGATAATTTCATTCCCCAAAGGGGCAAAAATCATATGGGTGTTCATTTAAGTCTCAATACGAGGTTTGTAAAATGAAAACCACAGTGGAGCAATAAAGGAAGATACTAATGAATAGTAATAGCCTCTTCCTGGTTGGAGAGACTAAAGACAACCGAGATGACACTGGGCCCAGTAGGGCCAGAGCGCCATGTGAGGCCTGATCAGACTGCGTTGGAAGCTCCAGGCAGCAGTGGCGGGTTCCTGCATCCCCCAGCGGGTGGAGTTGGCTGGCACCACCTGGTGCAGGCTCGGGAAGCCCGCCCCTCCGGAGATCAGGCCTGCTTGCCCCGGGGTGGGGCCTTGGGAGAGCTGGCCTGGGGAGCTGGTTGTGGGAGTGCCCAAGTCCTGGAGTCCAGAGGCCCAGGAGACAGTGAGTATGCCGCCCCTCGCCTCCCTGCCCCACCCCCAGTGCGGACCCTCGAGGCAGGCCCTGCAATCACCACCCCTACCAGTCAACCACCAAATGCGCTCGCAGCCTGCCTTTTAACCACCCCTCTACCGTAGCGCGCTCCTTTCCCCTTGCAGGTGCTCAGCACCTTTGCCTTTCAGCTTCCTTTTTTCTTCTCCTGGCAGTGGCGGCCCCCCGAGACGCTGAGATACGGAAGGACGTGCAGGTGCCAGCAGAAGGGCCTGGAATGGCCAAAGAGGAGCCTCGACTGAGTGGGAGCACTAGGCCGTTGTTAGCCCAGCCTGCCTGTGCCCTTGTCCCCCAGAATCAAGGAGGGGACGGGAGGGGGGTGCAGGGCAAAGTCTGGGCTTAGAGCTTTGCATGGGGAAAGCCTAGCCAGGCCTAGATGGGTGGGGATGGGGGTGGTGGTGGACATGGGAGACTTCACCCTGTGGATACCAGTTCCAGCTCTTCTCTCTTCCCCACCCCAACCCTGCCCTTGGCCTCTGGTCAGACCTACTATGGGCAGGTGCTGAAGAAATCAGCAGATCTCCAGACCAGTGCCTGTGTCACTGCAGCCAGGCTGGTCCCCAAGCACATCCGGGAAGCTTTGACGAATATACATGAAGAAGTAGCCTTGAGGTAGAGTTCCCTGTGCTGCCCCCCTCCCCCCACCATGAAGACTCTAGGCAGCAGCTTTTTCAAGACAGTGCCTGTGCAGTAAATCATGGGAAATGTTTTCTGTGCTCATGGTTTACCTCCCCAGTTAAATACCCGCCGGGGACAGAAATCTTGTGTTACATTTTTTTCTCCAATAACGAGCACAGTTCTGGACCTTTAGTAGATGTTCAGCTATAATACCTAACTAAATGTATTTACTCAACAAATATTGTAAATGGCTTGTTTGTCTTAGTACCTGGTACAGTGTCCAACAATGATAACAATGGTAAACAAAGCAGACAAGAGTTCCAGTTTTCATGGAGCTTCCAGTTTAGTGGGGGAAACGAAACACCTAAATAGAAATCCAGTGAATGATGGAAGCAAGGAGGGACAGAAAGGAAGGAGAGAGGTAGGAAGAAAGGGTTTGTAAGATTTAGTGATTCCACATATTCTAGTCTCTAGGGGAAAAATCTGTATACATGGATGTATTTTCTATTTCCCAGGTATTATGGCTGTGGTCTGGTCATCCCTGAGTGTCTGGAAAACTGCTGGATTTTGGACCTGGGCAGTGGAAGTGGCAGAGATTGCTATGTACTGAGTCAGCTGGTCGGTGAGACAGGACATGTCACTGGGATAGACATGACGGAAAGTCAGGTGAGGCAGAGATTTGGAGGACAAGGAGGAAAGAATTCTCAAAGGCATTCTTTTAAAGACAAAGTTGTTTCCTTTGTGATTCTCTTCAAGGATAATCTAAGAAGGCTGCTAAATGCAAAGCTCATTTGCTCCACTACTTCTTCCTGCCCTGAAGGCTGAGAACTTTGACAGTTAGGGGCTCTTCTGGGAGGACAGAGTCAGAGGTTTGACCTGATAAATGAGTATCATGATGACCCAGTGGAGTCTGATTTTTCGCTTGCTTCTGCCATCTATCCTGAAGAATTTTGTTGTTGAGTGAAGAGTTTACTCAAGCAAAATCCATGTATCAAGGGGCACCTGGCAAGCTCAGGCAATAGAATATGTGACTCTTGCTCTCAGGGTCATGAGTTCAAGCCGCACATTGGGTGTGGAGCCTACCTGATTAAAAAAACAAAACAAAACAAAACAAAAAACCCAGCAGAGGGTTTATCCCTCACTGAGTTGTCCCAGACTGTAATTTATCCTACATGCTCAGAGGAACCTTAAACACTTACCAAAAATATATTATGCATATTCCATTCATAATAGGAAATTTTTGGTAAAAGAGCAGCATATTTTAAAAAATGATTATCAAATCCATATATATATTTATATATGTTTTTGTTTTTTGTTTTTTTAGGTAGAAGTGGCTAAGAAGTATATTGAGTATCACATGGAAAAATATGGCTTCCAGACCCCCAATGTGACTTTTCTTCATGGCTACATAGAGAATCTGGAGGAGACTGGAATAAAGAATGAGAGTTACGATATTGTTATGTAGGTCTATACCCTTATTTCTGTAAATATAGATAGCCCATTTCCTGTCGAATACAAATGTCACCACTCTTTGCAGAACTGACTCTCATTTAGGGTGTTAAGCCTGACTTAATAAAGGGACGGAGCGGTTCTCAGGTGCTTGTAGCCCACTGGTTTCAGAACACACTAGCCCAGGAGAGAACCAACTGTAAACTTAAACATAAATGGATGAGCCCAAAAGAACAACAGTAGGACCACTGAGTCTGCTCATACAACACACACCGACCTGTTATCTTCAGTATTATTGTCACAGCAAAGTGTAGGAGTCTGTTTCTCCTTTTCTTTTGAATTGTTGTCAAGTCATGCCCAGGTGACAGCCTTAATGAAGCTGCCTTTGGTGAATTTCGCCTATTTACATGTGGCCTAAGAAACACGTGGTGCAGGAGGCATGGGGAACCAGCCTGGTGACCATCAGCACAGACACAAATCAGGAGCGTGCCTGATTTTTTTTTCCTGCCCACTCAAATTGACTAACAATTTATTGTGATTTTATTGTGATTTTAAACACTCCATCCATCTCCTTTTTCTTGGGAAAAAACTGAGCATGGGGAAGAGAAGAGGGAGGCAGAAAGAATGGTGTAGCTTTGAGAAATGGTGGAAGACGTCTTTAGGGACTAAAGGATTTGAAGCATTCTGAGTAGTGTGTGAATTTGCCTGACATTCCACCTCTTTTTTAGATCAAATGGTGTCATTAACCTTGTGCCCGATAAGGAACCCGTGCTGCAGGAGGCGTACCGAGTGCTAAAGGTGAGGGAAGGAGGAGACAACTGGTCTTTACATGTCAGTAAGAGCAGATGGGATCTGTCCTGTTCTTGCCCCCTTGAGCTGACAGCTCCAACTCTTGCCATTTATTCACGTTAAAAAGGGTCGGCAAAAAGGGGCATGGCAAGAATGCCCCAGACATGGATTCTTTTTCCTCTCATGTCATAAAAGGTAGTAAATCCGAGAGTCATGATTGTCATTGGATGCTGTAAAATAGCTGCTTTATTGTGGTCTCTTCTCCTGTTCCCTGCTGCCCATGGTCCTGGGATAGCATCTGTAGAACTTCAGGGACTTTTGGACTGACTCCGAAAGATTGCTATGGATAGACTTCCAGCTTGTGTAGTGTTTCTGAGGGCTGCTTATTTCGTTTCTTTTTTTTTTTTTTAAGATTTTATTTATTTATTTGAGAGAGAGAGAATGAGAGAGAGAGACAGCACATGAGAGGGGGGAGGGTTAGAGGGCGAAGCAGACTCCCCGCCGAACAGGGAGCCCGATGTGGGACTCGATCCAGGGACTCCAGGATCATGACCTGAGCCGAAGGCAGTTGCTCAACCAACTGAGCCACCCAGGCGCCCTGCTTATTTCGTTTCTGTCAGGATTTCAGATCTTTGGGAAGTTAAAAAAGATGGAACTTTTACACTAACTACTTTCTAAAAGGAAGACTTGCTGGAGCTCCTTACCCTCCACATATATCATGAGATGTGTATCTTCGTGATAGAAGATAGAAGATTCTGAGATTTTTGGTTTACAGGGCTTGTCATAGAGATGAAATATAAGAATATGTAGGAATGATTTAATAATGTCTTACTTAATATGTCATCTTATGGGCCAGCATACTATCTTCATCAAGATGTACTTCTAAAAGAGACTTTACAGTACGATCTGGACTCTGAGCCCTTGAAACTAGCTAAATACAATCGTAAAATTCCTGATCACTCGTATGTCTGAGATTTTAAGGACATTTAAAAAATATAATTATTATTATAAAAATAAATAACATTGCAAAAGTTATATGATTTTTAAGGGAGAAGAATTCAGGAATACTATTTACTTCTATTAGTTATACAGCCACCTGGGACTGCATTTGGTTCAGACTGGCTAAAATTTTAAGCACTTGAGTATCTTTATTTAGGAGAGAAACACTCTTGGAAAGCCATTTTATTGTCTGTAGGGCACTGGAAAGAAATCTTGGCATATGCAGCTATTGCTTGTAACCAGTAAGGCAGCTCTGCTTTGTTCACCAAGAGTCACCTCAGTACTTCTGTTGGTTTTTAAAATTGATTTTATCTCCTCATTCCTTTCTTTGCTATCTGGGACTAATGTCATCTTTAACCTTGTTTGGACTAATAATGCTGTTTCAGCACGGGGGGGAGCTGTATTTCAGTGACGTCTATGCTAGCCTTGAATTGCCAGAAGAAATCAGGACACACAGAATTTTATGGGGTAAGTGTTGCTTTGTTTTGTTTTACGGCAGATACTTGTTCACGTACAGAGCTCCAATCTGCTAATATCCAGGAAGAGGCTTTGTGATGTGGGAACACATGGCACTAGGTGGGGTGGCTTCTGTCTCCCTTCTCCTCTGCCGCTCAAGAGTAGTATGACCTTAGAGTTTAATTAGTCTCTTTGAGTCATTGTTTTCCACATTGTAAAATGCAGATAATAATACAATCTAACTTATTGGGCTGTTATGAAGATTAAATGAGATAGTGGATATGAAAAATGCTTTGAAAACTGTAGCATGATAACCCTTTGGGGACTGAAGCCCCTTCATCTCCTTCTGTCCTCAGTGTTATTGTGTTGTTTATTCCCTTATTGTCATTTAAATGGAGTCTCTGGAAGTTGAGGAGATGAATGTATGCCCGTGGTCAGTCTGATTATGAAATCAAAAGTTCTTATTATTAGGGGCACCTGGTCGGCTCAGTCAGTAGAGTGTGTGACTCTTGATCTTAGGGTTGTGAGTTCAAGCCCCACAGTAGGTATAGAGATTACTAAAAAAAAAAAAAAAAAAAAAAAAAAAAAAAAAAAATCCTATTTAAAAAAAAACAGTTCTTTTAAAATAAGATCTGTTAACTTTTTTCTGTCATACAATAACAAATGAATATTGTTAAAATGTTGGAAAATACAAAAAGAAAAAAAATTACTTATCGTGTAACCTGGCAATAACTTCTTTAACATTTTAGCATATATCCTTGTAGGGTATGTGTGTGTGTGTATAATAAAATTTGGAGCATGCTGTATGTAGAATTTAGTATCCTAATTTCATTTGGCATGTTTCCTAAGCCTAAAATCTTTATTATTATTATTATCATATTAACATAATGTATCATTTGTTTCAGGGGTACAGGTCTGTGATTCATCAGTCTTACACAATTCACAGCACTCACCATAGTATATACCTGACCCAGTGTCCGTCACCCAGCCACCCCATCCCTTCCACCCCCTACCGCTCCAACAACCCTCAGTTTGTTTCCTGAGATTAAGAGTTTCTTATGCTTTGTCTCCCCCTCCGGTTTCGTCTTGTTTCATTTTTCCCTCCCTTCTCCTATCATCCTCTGTTTTATTTCTCTAATTCCTCATATCAGTGAGATCATATGATAATTGTCTTTCCCTGATTGACTTATTTCGCTTAGCATAATATCCTCTAGTTCTATCCATGTCATTGCAAATGGCAAGATTTCATTTTTTGATGGCTGCATAATATTCCATTGTGTATATATACCACATCTTCTTTATCCATTCATCTGTTGATGGACATCTAGGCTCTTTCCATAGTTTGGCTATTGTGGACATTGCTGCTATAAACATTGGGGAGCACATGCCCCTTCGGATCCCTACATTTGTATCTTTGGGGTAAATACCCAGTAGTGCGATTGCTGGGTTGTATGGTAGCTCTATTTTCAACTTTTTGAGGAACCTCCATACTGTTTTCCAGAGTGGCTGCACCAGCTTGCATTCCCACCAACAGTGTAGGAGGGTTCCCCTTTCTCCATATCCTTGCTAACATCTGTTGTTTCCTGACTTGTTAATTTTAGCCATTCTGATGGTGTGAGGTGGTATCTCACTGAGGTTTTGATTTGTATTTCTCTGATGCCGAGCGATGTTGAGCACTTTTTCATGTGTCTGTTAGCCATTTGGATGTCTTCTTTGCAGAAATGTCTGTTCATGTCATCTGCTCATTTCTTGATTGGATTATTTGTTTTTTGGGTGTTGAGTTTGATAAGTTCTTTATAGATTTTTTATATTAGCCCTTTATCTGATATGTCATTTGCAGATATTTTCTCCCATTCTGTCAGTTGTCTTTTGATTTTGTTGACTGTTTCTTTTGCTGTGCAAAAGCTTTTTATCTTGATGAAGTCCCAATAGTTCATTTTTGCCCTTGCTTCGCTTGCCTTTGGCGATGTTTCTAGGAAGAAGTTGCTGCAGCTGAGGTCGAAGAGGTTGCTGCCTGCCTGTATTCTCCTCAAGGATTTTGATGGATTCCTGTCTCACATTGAGGTCGTTCATCCATTTGAGTCTATTTTTGTGTGTGGTGGAAAGAATGATCCAGTTTCATTCTTCTGCATGTGGCAGTCCAATTTTCCCAACACAATTTGTTGAAGAGACTGTCTTTTTTCCATTGGATTTTTTTTTTTTTTTTACTCTATGACGTAGTTTATTGAATGAATTTCAAATATACAGGAAGCAGTGTAGGTTAACACATTTATGGCAGGGTACCAGTGGGATAGATCATACTACTCAATCCCTCCCTCTCTCCCTCCTTCCTTTTCTACCATTTGCTCTCCTACATCAGCGTTCCCCGCTATAATATGGCTATAAGGACCAGAGTTGAATGTAGTCAAAGTGGCTTAGCAGAAGGAAGATGTCTGGAAATAACACACAGCTTATTTTATGGAAAGGATGCAAGGTCCAGACTCCTGGCCAGGAGCTGTAGCTCATTTAACTTGCTATGCAGCTATGGCTTGTTTCTACATGTCTTTGATAGAGGCTACATAGGGCCACATGGGTGACATAAATGGGTTCTTGATTTAAAGGTGATATAACTGTCATAAAATTTGGTGCTTCTTGAATATGTAATACTTGTTCATTCTATCTCCTCCTCTCTTGTGTCAGCACACAAATGATCTATTTACTTTATCTGTATCTAACATGTTTCAGAAGCGTCTTGCTTACCATATATATTTTATTTTACTATCTTCTATTGTTCATTTCTCATTCTCCTCATACAACATACTATTCTTAAATCACAAACACAATAATGTCACCTGATCTGATCACAATAAAATTAAACAAGAACTCTGGAATAAAAATTTAACTGAAATAAAAATAAATGGAACCTTTTTAACAAATCAAAAATATTTAAACCTTCCAAGTTTTTAATGATAAAAACAACCATAACAAAAATCCTGTCACCTTTGAAGGGTGTAAGTGAACCAACGAGTATTTTGAAAAATGGTAAATAAAAGTAATTAATCTAGTATCTTTTCTCTTTTATATAAAAACTGTTCACCATGATAACTCAATTGTTCATGAGGAAGTTTCCTCTTTGCAGAAGCATCACAGCTAAAAAGGATTATTAGACTATCATTTCTTTGTAACTCCTAATGAAGTGAAAGATACTGGCAATACACATCAATTGCTCTAACATCACAGAGATAGATTATTTACTTCTAGATATAAGTATGAAACACTATCTATGAAGTGGTTTTGCTGAAACTTTATACCTGATTTTGATCAAACGTCTAAGTCTACTTCCCAATTCAGAAGGGAAAGAGTAGATAAAAGACAGAAACATGTTAATAGACATATGGGAATGTAATCAGCAAAATTCAGATTAAAACTTCCTAAGGATATGCCACCTGGTTTCTTCAGTAAAAAATAAATGCAGGGGTGCCTGGGTGGCTCAGTCGGTTAAGTGTCTGCCTTCAGCTCAGGTCATGATCCCAGGGTCCTGGGCACGCGCTTTCTCTCTCTCTCGGTGGCTCAGTTGGTTAAGCGTCTGCCTTCGGCTCAGGTCATGATCTCAGAGTCCTAGGATCAAGCCCCACATTAGGCTCTCTGCTCGGTGGGAAGTCTGTTTCTCCCTCTGTACTCTCTCTCTCTCTCTCTCTCTCCATAAATGAATAAAATTTGGTAATATGTCAATAGCTTGTACTAAATTTTGGCTTAAATTCTGCTCACAAAGTATGATGTAATCCACTTGGCTTGGTTTGATTAATCTGAAGTGAACCTGCAAATTCTTCCAGAAAATGGTCGTTTTTCTGTTCAGAGAGTTGCTGCTATTCTTTTCTTCGATCTCCTGTTGAGTTCGTAGGTGTTGAGAATGGTTTGATCCCCATCTAGCTGAATTCCTGGGACCAAACGAAATTTAGGTCTCCTCCTCCATCATCTTGCTCCTCCCTGTAACTTCAGGAACAAGGTGAGGATATCTGCTCTTACTACTTCTATTCATCTTAATAATAGAGGTCCTAGCCATTTTTATTTTAACACCCACATTCCAACTCCAGACATTCTGACTCTAATGAGCAACTGTGGTTGAGATCCCTGGATCACTGCTTCAGCTGGAAATACAATTCAAAGGGCAGGTTCTGTCAGGTTACTTCCATCTGCGAAGAGCTGGTGCTATTGCTGTTAAAGTCAACCAGAAAGTTTTTAAAGCGAGCTGGCCCTAATGCCAGGGCAGTGCACGCCTCCATTGGACATTCTTTCCTGCTTTGTTGAAGATTAGTTGACCATAGAGTTGAGGGTCCATTTCTGGGCCCTCTATTCTGTTCCATTGATCTCTGTGTTTGTTTTTTTGCTGGTACCATACTGTCTTGATGATGACAGCTTTGTAATAGAGCTGGGAGTCTGGAATTGTGATCCCACCAGCTTTGCTTCTCTTTTTCGACATTCCTTTGGCTATTCGGGGTCTTTTCTGGTTCCATACAAATTTTAGGATTATTTGTTCCATTTCTTTGGAAAAAGTTGGTGGTATTTTGATAGGGATTGCACTAAATGTGTAGATTGCTCTAGGTAGCATAGACATTTTCACAATATTTGTTCTTCTAATCTATGAGCATGGAATGTTTTTCCATTTCTTTGTGCCTTCCTCAATTTCTTTCATGAGTATTCTATAGTTTTCTGAGTATAGATCCTTTGCCTCTTTGGTTAGATTTATTCCTAGGTATCTTATGGTTTGGGGTGCAAATGTAAATGGGATCAGCTCCTTAATTTCTCTTTCTTCTGTCTTGTTGTTGGTGTATAGAACTGCAACTGATTTCTGTGCATCGATTTTATATTTTGCCACTTTACTGAATTCCTGTATGAGTTCTAACAGTTTTGGGGTGGAGTCTTTTGGGTTTTCCACATAAAGTATCATATCATCTGCAAAGAGTGAGAGTTTGACTTCTTCTTTGCCACTTCAGATGCCTTTTCTTTCTTTTTGTTATCTGATTGCTGTGGCT